CTCCCCGGAGTGCCATGGAGCCGTGGCGTCAATGTGCCCAGTGGTTGGTGGCCGCTCGTGTCCTGCCCGCCGGTCACCGGGCCAGCAGCCCCGCGGGTCAGGTGTGGGACCTGGCACAGGCGCTCAGGGACGGGGTCCTGCTGTGTCACCTCCTCAACGCCCTCCTGCCCCGCGCCGTGCCACCCCGGGACATCTGTCCCCGGCCACAGATGTCACAGGTGAGCTGGGGGGGGACACGGGGGGTGACGGTGTGACGGTGACAGTGATACTGACAGTGACAGTGTGACGGTGACGGTGTGACAGTGATAGTGATGGTGACAGTGTGACAGTGACAGCGAGAGTGTGACAGTAACAATGACGGTAACAGTTACAGTGACAATGACAGTGACAGTGACAGTGATGGTGACAGTGATGGTGACAGTGACAACGACGGTGACAGTGACAGTAACAATGATGGTGACAGTGACAGTGACAATGACAGTGATAGTGACAGTGTGACAGTGACAGTTACAGTGATAGTGACAATATGTCAGTGGGACAGTGACGGTGATGGTGATAGTGACAGTGTGACAGTTACAGTGACGGTGACACAGTGACAATGACAGTGACGGTGACAGTGAGAGTGACAATGACAGTGATGGTAACAATGACAGTTGACAGTGACAATGTCAGTGACAGTGACAATGACAGTTACAGTGGCAGTGACACAGTGACAATGACAATGGCAGTGACAGTGTGACCGTGATGGTGACAATGACAGTTGACAGTGACCATGTCAGTGACAGTGATAGTGACAGTGACAATGACTGTGACTATGACAGTGACCGTGACAGTGACAATGTCAGTGACAGTGATAGTGATAGTGACAGTGACAATGACAATGACAGTGACAATAACGGCGACAGTGAAAGTGACAGTGTAATGGTGACAGTGACAATGACAGTGATAGTGACAGTGACAATAACAGTGATAGTGACGGTGACAGTGTGACAGTGCCAGGTGACAATGACAGTGACGGTGACAGTGACAATTACAGTGATAATGACAATGACGGTGACAGTGACAATGATGGTGACTGTGACAGTGTAACAGTGATAGTGACAATGACAGTGACAGCGACAATAACAGTGACAATAACAGCGATGGTGAAAGTGACAGTGTGACAGTGACAATGTCAGTGACAACGACAGTGACAGTGTGACAGGGATAGTGACAGTATGACAGTGGGACAGTGACAGTGATGGTGACAGTGACAGTGACAATGACAGTGATAGTGTGACAGTGACAATGACAGTTACAGTGGCAGTGACACAGTGACAGTGACAATGACAATGGCAGTGACAGTGACAGTGTGACCGTGACAGTGACAATGACGGTTGACAGTGACAATGACAGTGACAATGACAATGACAGTGAGGATGGTGGGTGAGGATGAGGGTGGCGATGGTGGGGACATTGGGACAGTGACAATGGTGACAATGACGGTGACAGTGGTGGTGACAATAATGGTGACAACGGCGGTGACAACAATGGTGACGGTGACAATGACGGTGACAATGATGGTGACAAAATGGTGAAAATGACGATGACAATGACGGTGACAACGATGATGACAATGACGGTGACAACGACGGTGACGATGACGGTGACAATGACGGTGACAATGACAGTGACAATGACGGTGACAACGACGGTGACAACGACGGTGACAGTGACGGTGACAATGACGGTGACAACGACAGTGATGGTGACAATGATGATGACAATGACAGTGACAATGATGGTGACAATGACGGTGACAACGACGGTGACAATGCCGTTGACGGTGACAATCTTAGCAACGACAGCGCCGAGGGGGGGGTGACAGGGACAATCACGACATTGACAAAGGGTGACAACGACAGCACCGGTGACGCGACTGCACGCCAGAAGGCGGCGCCGCCTGTGACGGCCACGGGGGAGGGTGACACCGTGGGGTGACACGGTGACAATGCCACCGCAGTTCCTGTGCCTGAGGAACATCCGCACCTTCCTGACGGCGTGCGCCGACAAATTCGGGCTCCCCAAGCACCGGCTCTTCGGAGCCTTCGACCTCTTCGACGTCCAGGATTTCGGCAAGGTGAGGGTCAGGTGTCCAGGTGCGCCGGCGACAGGTGGGAGGCGGCGGTCCGGGTGACGCGTCACCGCGCCGATGTCACCTGTCTGTCCCCCAGGTGATCGAGACGCTCTCGACGCTGTCCTGGACCCCGATCGCGCAGAGCAAAGGATTCACGTGAGTGGGCGGCGGGCAGGTGACCGGAACCCCGGCACTGGGGTCACTGGGGTCACTGGGGTCACTGGGATGTGTCACTGGGGTCACTGGGAGGTGTCACTGGGATGTGTCACTGGGGTCACTGG